TCTGGGAGAAAGGTCAGTGGGAAAAGTCAGAACCCTCTGAGGTTCCAGAAAGTCTAACCTTCCTAATCTGTAGGTCATCGTCAGAGTTAAAGATGCCCTTTCTTGACAAAATCTGATGCCATCCGACCCCAAGGCTGTCACTTCTAGCACCCAGCTATGTGATCACAGTGCTGGTGGTTCAATCTCCTGCCTTTCAGGACTGGACATGGACTGTATTTTCTGGACCTAAGCAGGCTTGTAAACATGTTTGATCAATGTTCCATCTAAGCTACCACTCCCCAGGAAGAGCAGAGTGACCACATTCCTACACAATGGCAGTTTTAAAGTTAACTTCTGCCCACAAGCCTTTGGCACCTGTGGGGAAGGAGGCAAGATTAGAAACTGCATATAAACGACTAGACAGAGAGCCAAAAGCGGGAGCCCACCTGGGACCCCCTTCACTGTGTTGAAGGCTTTGCTGTCCTCTTATCTGTGACAGAAACTATCCTTTTTCTTACTCATGGTCCATGAATTCATTCTTCTATTCCTGAAAACAAGGACCCAGCAAAGAAAATTCCTGTAGGGCCTAGGACTTACAGTGGTGCTATTTGGAGACTAGTTTTATCCCCTTGAACAAATTGTGAATAACTTGCAACCAGGAACCACATCTTTCTTTATGTGTCTCCCACAACACCTCCCAGGTTCTGCACAAAGTAGGTACTCAACAGGTATTGAATGGATTGAACAGAGAAAGGCTAACATTTTAAAGGAAGAGTTGATGTGATCTCTAAGACCCACATTCGAGAAGGGGCAGAAAGAATACAGTAGCCCAGGCTGATGATCAACCCACACAAGGGAAAGGAGGAAGTTCTAGGCATGGCAAGGCAAGCCAGAAGCTCCCTTTGCTGGGACCATCTAGACCAACAATAACCCGGAATGATAGAGCCCTGGACCCAGAACTCCTATTGGATGAAGATGTGTTTTCCAGAGCTTCCTTCCAGCCCCCAACTCACTTGTGTCTCCTCCATTCACATTGGGACACAAGCAGCTCTGGAAGACATTCAGATCAAGGGAGAAATTCCAGAATGTCCAAGAGGAGACAGGGACAGCAGCTTTGCAACCATCCCACCCTCCTTCTTGCTAGCGTGGCAGCCTCACCTGTGGGTCCAGGGCACCAAGCCAGCCATCTGCTCAGGCATGAAATGGTTCTTATACCCAAGAGTCAGACCATTTATGCCCATCTTTCAAGTGGCTTTTTATAGAGTATGAGAGTGATGAGCACATTGAAACAAATGAATATGAATGAGAGCAGCGTCTACTTTGCCAGGGAAATGATGTTTATTAGGAGGTTAAAAGGGAGGGCCATTGGCTGGCATGGCAGAGAAATCTCTGGACAGGCCAAGGAAGGAACAGACTCTGGGAAGGCAAGGGTGAGGCTGGAGGCTTCAGGTGTGTTTCTTCACTGCCTTAGAGGGGCCGCTTCAGCAAACTGTGTATTCATTGTCATTGAATGAGCTCAGCCTGGTGCAAGCTCTGTAGCTCTGGGCCCACATCCTCCCACCTCTGGTTTCACCGGGGTTCTAATGCAAAGGATTGCAGGGCCCACAGTGGGGACATGGGGCATAGGGAATTAAGGGGGCAGGAGGGGTGCAGGGGGTACAGGGACTGGGGATGAGAGACCGCATCAGCTTGCCTCACACATTGGTTGTATGTAGCACAAGGGTTGCAAGGCAGCCTGGAGACAAAAGAATAATGTAAAAAAGCAAGCGGGGGGATTCAAAACTACATACAAGAGAGACCCAAGGAGTGCAAAGCCCACCAAGACTTGGCCCCACGTAGAGAAGGTGCAGGCTCCCACCTACGCAGGTAAATACCACATCACTGATGGCCTCCCAGTCATAGGGT